AAGTTTCAGCGCCATATATCCAAAAGTGGATATAGGAACTATTGAGCGACATTTACTTTCAGACTTAGATGGTGCAAATGTCACTCGGTTTGAGTCTGTGTTGCATGTTCTAAGTCGTCTTTTAGTTGTCTTTTAGAAACATGTGCTGTCTAATGTTATTAGGTTTGAATCTATACTAGATCTACTTTACTGTCGGTAAATGATTAGTCAAATCAATACAAATCTGTCACATTTATAAAATGTGTAAAAAGCGACGAAAATTAAAATGTTAAGAACAATTTGTATAAAAGATGTGTCTGTCTTATATTTTCAGATATATATCAACAAATGTCGGAAGTTACATAAAAATTATGAAGAAATTTTAAGAAATAAAATATAAAATTCGAAGAAGTTTATAACTACATAATATTATGTTTGATTTCAATAAAGCAATATCAAATAAATTATCTTTTTTTGTCTTATTACTCTATTGTTACTCTATCATTTATTATTTGTTGCTCTTATTTTTATTAGAATGTGTTTAAATATTCTTTATCTTTTTTTAAGATGCTGAAGTAATGGCCAAACTATTGGTCGTCCTATTACACTGTTCGGAAAGTAGCGCTCTCTAGTTGGACTGAAAAAACTATAGACACATGTGTCTTTCTCTTTGTCTCTTGTATAGTTTGCCTATTTGTTTTAGACTAATATGAGACGGACTAATTGCAATTTCTTGTTATTGTCGTCTTGTGTTAGAGTAAGATAAATGAATAACGAATAATTTTGATTGGCAAGACGTTAAAATTTTTAATACCAAGTGAGATGGTTTTATTCTAAGAAATCAGTTTTCAAAACGATTTATGTAAGATTACAAACAATTTTATTAATATTTATGTCAGTTACTCAAGATCATATTTCTTTTTATTAAAGCAATATTATACAATGCTAAATTACAATGTTAATTAACGTTTTTTTTGCGCTCTTGGCTTGACTTGTGTAACTTCTTTTTGTTATTATATTGAAGGAAACATTATTTATGAAATCTATATTTATGAATTACTATACATATATGATATATAGTACTGTATAGTACTGTACGCGCGCGCGCGCGCGCGCACACACACACACACACATCGGTAAGGAAAAAATTCATATATGTATTTGCTATATAGTATATAGTACTATATATAGTACTATACATATACATATAGAGTGCAGCGACATAGTAAGAAAAGACGGTCCCTTGGAGCGGTCCCTTTTCTTTTCTTTTTTACTAGGTTAAATTACTCTGATAGTAATCACTCAAAAAACAAATTAACAGATAGTTTTTTTCAATTTAGTGAGCATTCTTTTATTTTACATTTTAGGTTTTCTTTTTCACATACAACATATTGTCAATTCACATGCAAATTCTTGTTAACTTAAACTATCTATTACGATATAAACAGCAAGATAAATAATATTTATATACATCGCGAACTTGATTCGAGGAAAAGTTGCGCAACTTGCCTCAACAAACTGTTCGCGGCATCAATCTGACTTTGCCCTTTGTCACAAAGAATTGATTAGCGATCCCATTCTGCACAGCTATGACGTCACTTTACGGCTTTCCACTATTCATTTATGCCAAGAGACATTTATTATTCTTATGCATTAAAATTGGCACTGCTGGATTTTCTAAATGTCTAAATAGTGATCTGCAGCACTTGGTGCTGCTTTTAGTCCACCAACGCCAAGAGTTTTATATGAAAATGTTTTATATAAACATTTTGTAATTTGATTAAACTTTTTTTTTCTTTTTATTTGTTATTATACAGTGTCTAATGTGTCAAGGTTTTTCATGATGTAAGATATTATATACTAAGATATATATGTGTGTATGTACCTATTTAATACAACAAGTCATATGTTTCGAACTTAGATATTCAGAACTAGATATTCAGTAATAAAATGAAATTAGAATAAAACAAATTTAGTAATAAACATTAAAATAAATTTAGTAATAAAATGAAAAATATCGAAATATACCGAATTGCTAGATCTTATATATATATACGTCTCTTTGATTAACAAGATACTATTAACTTAGCAAAAATTATGTTTCTTCTCTTTTCTCAGTTATATTTGACTTGCGTATACTGTGCGTTTTTTTGCTACAAAGTCAACTCTTGTACATTGAGTAAGATAGACATGTTGTATATAGACAAGATGTGTATATTTTCAATTGTCTGAAAAGAAATGATCAAAATAAATTGATCGAAACATCTCACAAAATTACTTAACGTGAAGTTTCACTGTTATTTTTTCATCAGCATTAGTGAATAAAGTTGAGTTTCCTTCCCCTTTATGTTCATTTTAATCTTTAGATATTTAGATTTATAAAATATTTTTATGATATATTATAAAAATACACATAAATACATACTATAAATACATATGTGTATCGAATTTGAATTTTCTTAGGTATTAAGTTTTTATATTCAAAGTATTTACCTACTTAAAGTTTTGTATCAAATAATTTATTCGTTCTTGACTTCAGGAAGTTGCATGGAAAAGCTTTGCATTGAATGCTAATACAATATTTAAAATACTGATTGTTCTTCTTTTGCATGCTAAGTAACTTGTGTTTTTCTTTTCTAGCGCGCCGCATCCAAGCAAGCGCAAAAAACATTTATTTGTACTTACGATAGTTGCGATTCTATCACGATGTACAAGACATAGCAGTGATCTAATTACTTGTAGCCTTTGCTTTTAGACGACGCATATAACTATTGATGTATTATTTGAAATAACGTTGCAAAATACGTTGAAAAATAGAAAAGTAAATTGATAAGAAGCAACTATTATATTTTGCAATTTTCTCGTAAGCATCTACGCATTTTGTTTGCTGATTTTTAATAACAGACTTTTTAAAATAAAACTGTATTTTTTGTAGTTAAAATTATGACATTCATATATTAAAAAACATTTTATTTATACCAGTTTTTTATTCGTAAAAGAAATATTTCTATAATAATTTCTTAGACATTTGTCAGAAAAGAAACGTTTCATAACATTTGGTTTCTTTATTCCGCTATGTTTTGAAGTGAAATTTTTTCTTGTCACAAGAAAATTTTTTATAAGAGAAAGTTAAGAAGTAAGCTGATAATATTCTCATTGCTATCATTGATAATGCTGTGCTCATATTTGCAATAATTGATTATAAATAAATGGAAAATTAATTTGACATCTTAACTTGAAGATCCTTTGCATTATCTGTTAGACTAAGTTTTAAAAAGAGAAGAATTACTTGAAGAAAAGAAGATAAATTGATAAGAAGCAACTTTCCATGATTCTATATTCTTATTTTATAACTGTTTTAAGTTGTTTAAAAAAGTGGATGTAAATACTTTTCGAACGATTTAGAATGTCAAGAAAATAACTAATAATAATAAAAATAAGAGAAAACGCACATAACGTGAAAATTATTTGAAATTGATTCGACAAATCATCAGCAGCAATTGCAATAGCTATTTTGCTTTGTAAAACCAATGAGTCTATAATCTATGAGCGCCAGCAGTAATATCGCTTTTGACAATTGAATCGGTATATGTGTGTGTATGTGTGTGACGTAGAGTAAAAATGATAAATAATCACACAATTATCGATTATTTACGTTCACAAAACACAGCAGTTGAGAAATTATCACTTGTGTTTGAAAATGTTTTATCAAAAGTGATTAATTTTTCAATCAATGTGCAACTTTTGTTTTGTGTTTTCTGAATATAATCAATATTATGTCGTCTAATTGTTGTAATAAGATGTAAATAAAAAAGTAGTGTAGTAGTAGTAGTAGTAGTAATGTATGTAATCTAAATTGTGAGAACTCGCGTAATTAAGGATATAATGCAGCGAAATTGATAATTATCTTTTTGCATGAACAGTATACTTTTCTTGAAAAAGTTATATGTTATACTTGAGTAGACAATTTGTAAACTTGTGGTGTGTTTTGTTGTTCTCTGGTGTTTGCTGAGAAAGCGGTAAGATATTGCACATTATGAGTGCGCTGTAACTATATTACTAATTTTTACATTATACATTTTTGTTTATACACTGATGATAATCTAAACAAAGGAAGCGAAACATTTGTAAGGTTTTTTGGAATTCAATAAAGAATTACGCTAATATCTTGTGTTTTTGTTTGCATCTGCTTAAATATTCTGTTTTTTTCCATTTATACTGTTTTAATAATTCTTTCAAAATAGATGTGAGTGTAAAATTTTTCACAAACTTAAACATACAAAACCGAACAATGAATTCTAGAAACTACATATAAAAATCTAATAATGTAGTATTTTATTTTGAAATCACACAAATCTTAATGCATGAGATCTAAATATTAAGATCTAAGATAAGATAGCAATGTAAAAAAATAAAGACAAATACACATATTCTGATGAAAGTATTCTAATTAGAAGTACGGGAGCAATAAAAGATAATCGCAAGTAAAACAAGAGATTCCAGGTTCGAATTCTAGCCGAGTGTTTTTTTTTTGCAATATAATTTTTAAAGTAATTGGAAAGGGAAAATGAGTATACTTATATATGAGATGCAAATCTAGCATCTTATATGAAATCACGAATTGAAAAATTTCAACTCAAATAATCATGTGTAAAAATGTACACTCCTAAAACTATAAATATATATTCAGACATATTTATACCGCAATATACCTTTACAAAAAAGAATTACTGGCAGTAATATATTGCGGTAGTGGTACGAAAGAATTACTGGCATTCTGTGTAATTGCCAGTAATATTCTCAGTGATTCCTGTAATACCTAATAATATTCTTGTGAGATTGTCAGTAATATTTATATTATTGACTTTATTTATTTATATGTAATCGGCAATAGTTCTTTTTCGTAAGGGCAGTGTGATAGGATAAGGATTGATATTAAAAATTAGAACAATATTTGAAAATATTAATTTTTATTTACCTATATTTTATTTTTTCCTTTTTATCAAATATAATAATTTCTTTTTATGTATATTTTGTAATTTATCTACTTATTATCATAATATAAACAACAATTTAAAAGAACGACATTATATATAGCACTAAGCGTATACCACACCACAACGACAAAAGCGCTAAAATTGTCATTAATGTGTAATGCGCGATTTTTAACCTAAAATAAAAACACGTTTGTACATATATCCTCGTTTACAGAATACCGAACATACATATTAATATAAAAATACATATTATTAGAAAAAGAATTTAGCGCGTTTTGCGCTCCTGAAGAATTAACTATTTCTCACTTTTACAACTCATATTGTATGATTTATCAAATTGACGTTCATTAATTCAAGAAATTGTTTATGCTAAGAGTAATACTTACTTTCTATATTTCGCTTTTCCTTTCTCTAGAGAATCCAGCGGATCTTTAAGTATGAATACACGCACACCAATAATTAAGTTAAGAATGCATGAATTCCAATTCAATTCATCTAAGTTGAAATTAAACATTTGACGATCGCTTTGATTCATACGATTCCAAAGCTTCAAGACAGCGTCATTGCGAAACTGCCACTCTTGCGTTGAAAAATACGATATTACATGTTCGAATTTGTGTATCTTTTTATAAACTTTCACTAATCTGAGTAAAAAAATACAGTGTGTAGAAAAATATACACAGATATATATCTATAAGAATTATTCCTTATTATTTCTAAAATACATTCAATGACTTACTGCGGTTTTCGACCGCTTAAGAAGAGTATTGCATCGACTATATAACCGGGAATCATGTGCAAAAAAATTACGGATATGTTGTGAAGAAATAAATGTTTGTTTAGAATCAACATGTAGTACCACATACAATGTTCGCTTGCTGGTATTTTATTCGTACACATGTTCATATAATCTTTCCAGGTAATGGGATTTTGGCACGACGATACATAATTGTAAATTGGCACTTTTTCGGTTTCCGGAATCTTCGGATTTGTATTCTCAATACTGAGTAAAGTGTCTCTAATGAAAAATCACAACATGTTGTCATATAAGCGGCAGATGTAAGTATTATAAACGATATAAATATAAGAGTATGCACTCTATACTATGTTACAAAATAAATGCAGTGTTGCAAAAACACACACATACACACACACAATGCATATATACATACATAGATTGAGGTAAAAAATAAAAATGAGTTAAAGAAGTGACGTAGTAAAAACTGAATTACATAATACAAAATATTTAACAAACTCACTTTTCGACATGTAAGCTTACTTCTTTTTGGCGGTGTCCCAACACACGGCAACGATATGAGAAATTACGTAATCGCCTGGTACTATTTCTGCTGTATAATCAGGATTGCAATGTAGAGTACGTAAAAGACCTATGGCAGTACCAAATACTATGCCTACTGCTCCGTAGAAATTGTTGATCCATCCAGGCACTGGCTCAGTTGCTGTTGATATTACAATCGATGGACGTACAATACAAATCGGTATTCCGATACCGTATTGACGTACAGTCTCTTCGGCAATTGCCTTTGTAAGCGCGTATATGTTTGGCCATTGACCTATTAAACTACGGTTGTCCAATTAAAAAAAAATGTAAAACTAAACATACTTATTACCTAACAACAAATTACAAATGATCAACACATATCAAAATTAGAGAAACACATGTTTCACAGAAGAATTTACACAATATATAAACACATTTATTTATAACTCTATGTGAATATATTTTTAATAATATATTTTTAATAATATATTTTAATAATATATTTAATAATATATTTTGGAAAAATAAGAAATACGTAACTTACGTTGGAGTTAGAATTTCTAGTTGTTTATCATCGAGCATATCAACTAATGTTAAAATTTTATCTGGTTCAATGGGCGGAGAATAAAACTTTTCTTCTATAACGTTTTGGACACAATGAGAAAATGCAGTCGATATATAGACAAACGCCTGAAAATATTAATTAAAAGAAAAAAGAAAAATTTATTTATATTGAGCGTACAACTACATTAAAATATGATAAGGCTTTTTTTATGACTTTATATTTTTGGAAAAAGAACGATTAAGAAAGACACTTCATTACAGTAAGTATTTTCTATTATTTTACCTTTAAATTCGGCATTTCTTTCGCAAGGAGAAGAAGTTGTTTTGTTCCTCTTATATTTATGTTTACTGCTTTTCGAGTTGGTTCATTAAATCGCACAGTCGCTGCAGAGTGGATAATTATATTTGTATCTAAAAGACGTTTTCGATTTTCTGGTAGTAATCCGAGATTGAGCTCGAAACAATCAGCCTCTATGAGTACTACTTTATCAGTAAAGTTGGGTCGTTCTTTTCTCAATCTTTCGTAAAGCTAAAAAAGCATAGATCTAATAAAAAAAACTATGAAGACATTTTTTATCTAATTATTATATATTTTTTTTATATTATGATATTTTTTATGTTATGATATTGTTTTTGTATTTTACTAACAGGATCCTCAAACTGTTCCTTGACCCGTTGTTCAGATGATTTTTCTTTTTTTGGTCTTATAAACATATATAACTTTCCTATATCCGGACAACATCTTAAAAAATCGTACATTATATTAGTGACATACAATTTTAGCAAATATATTTTTCATCGCTTCTATTTTTTTTTATTATTAATAAACACATATTATAAATATATAATATAGTATATAGTTCTATATACACATTGTTGGAAACACGCGTAGATATACATATATATTTAAATATTGTATTTTCTTCTATACATTTACATATGTGAGACAATTTTTAACTGTTTTTTTAACATTAACACAGAAATTTTTTAATTTATCTAAAATTTTTTTGTATATTTGAAACAATATTTCACTAAAATCAAAATGTTCGGATTTGTGAAAGTTTTCTTCGTTGATTGTATACTTGTACAGACTGCGGCCATACCGAAATAATGGCATCCAGAAAAAGATTAACTCTTTGTGCAAAAACACATATAAAGTAAACAAAGTAAACAAGTAGAATAAAAGTTGTTGAAGTGAGAAACTTTGTTTTTCAGAAAGATTAATACTACCATTTACTTTATGTTATATACTTCTATATAAGTAAATATACATCAATCTTCCAATTTTCTCAAAACCAGAATATCATAGATACGTTAGGAAGAATTGTTTGTTATTAAGTTTGTGTTTTAATTATTGAATTACATTATGTTTACACTGTACTGGCAATTTTCACATTACTTACCGTAACAATTTTTCTATTAAAAGCATTCCAAAAAATCCGGAACCACCAGTTATGAGAACGTTGCTACCAGCAAAGAATTGAGGAATTTCAGCTTTACCATCGTCCGGAGACTCTGACGTACTTATTAAGTCATCAATATAGGAACTATTTGTAAGTGCCATTTCAATCGTTTTTCTTAACGTTTAAGTTTTACTTTTTGTCACGAAGATGCTATATAATTTTACTCTCTTTACTCACAAATTTTACCTTTTACGGTCAATATTTTATCACTTTTTGATAAAACAATTTCTTCTTATTTTATTATTGTTTTAGTTATTTAATTTGTTTAGTTTATTATTTAGTTAGTTGAGTAGAAGCAAGAATATTTTGTAGCAGATATTACTTCTCGTTGTGACGCGGCCGAATAAGAAGATTTTCAAAGAGGTAGTCATATTTATAATGTAGAGTACATGTGTTTATATTTTAATATTTACAATTACAATGACGTCTTTGTAAGAATAAAGAAAGACTTACGTAAAAAATGAATTAAAGAAGTAAAACCACTAACGGTTTTTAATTAACATTAAATAGTGGTAACATAAGAGAGAATAGTTTAAGAAAACCGATACAAAAACTTAAAATTCAATCATTGTATTTTAATGTCTGCAATGATGAAGCACATGCATATATGTATAATTTATGCATACATATTTTATGTGTATATTTGACTAGAATATAAAAGAATTCGATGAATATATTTCATACTGCTCTACATTGTGTATAGAACATTGTATAAATGTGAAATTTACTTTGGTGCCTTTTTCTCTAACAACATTTAAACTTTATTTATAAATTACACAATAAAATATTAATTAGTAATAAAATATAAGGCTCCAATATCCAAGATAAAGTGTCGTATAGAAAGGCCAATGGGAGCAAACATACACTGCTGTAGATGTGTTGCAAATTTATTAAAACCATGAAAATCGTACAGACGTTTATATTAATTGTCAAAAGAATTAATTGTCAAAATATTAATTGTCAAAAGAATTTCCATTATTTTTTATAACTTTAGTTCACTTTACAACTGGCGAATTCCGTAGCAACAATATTAAGTTTATTTTTGATTCAATAAAATTATCAGTGAATTTTTCTATCTGTTGTCAAAATTGATAAGTGTTTAGGATCTATCCATAAGTTTCTTCATGTATAATATTATTACAGAGAGACAACTTTATGGCAATGTATGACTTTTATTTATTATTTTTTATTAATTTAACACACACATGCGAAAGAGAGGATATATATAAAAAGAACGTATTGTCACTGTTAACACCATTGATATGATTGTCTATTTATATTTTAAAATGTTTTGCATCATAATTTTTTCTTTATATTTTTTGCGTTTATAATGTATTACGACTAAAGAAGTCTCAAGTTAGAAACGAAACGTTTCGTTCTTTCATGTATTTGAAATTTTGCTTAATATATATTCATAAACTTTATATTTGCTCGATTTTGACTTTTTATCTATCTTGTTTGTTATCATAGAGAGATTCATTTTTGTCTTCCGCGCGCGTAATAATTTGATGCAAAAAAATCTTTTTTTTAAAGATGTGATAGCAAAGACAGAAATATTTCTCAATACTTCATTTTGTTGTCATTGCTGAGAACAGAATCTAGTTGTCTGCAGAATCTACTTGTTTTCTTCTGACATTTTTTCCATTTGTTTCAGACATAAACCAACAGTTTTTTAAGTTACTCCAATCAAGTGAATCAAGCTGTTCCGCAGAATCTTTTTGTGTTTGATCTTTATTCAATAGCTTTTGTAAGTCGATGTCTTCAAATTTTTTTGACTGAACCGAAACTCGTCATTCAAATCAAACTTTTCTTGTTTAAATCTTTTGAATAACTTTTTACTTGTGTTGTAGGTCACTATATCTTCGCCGAACATCATTCGAGCTGCTTACAGACGCGGTTTTCTTTAACTGAATCGCAAAGAGGATACAGTACCGATGTATGTCTTGTTAGTAGCCATGCACACAACTGATTTTTATTTCTAAACTAATTTTATATGTAAGATTCAGAATAAAAGATCTTTAATTTATATGTTGAAATATTATGGAATCTCTATACAGCTTCTTTTTTCCTACAAATGTATAACTTGTATAATTTTTATACACAGATAATAGTGTTAAATATTAAAAAGATAAAAAAAAGATAAATAGTTAAAAAGTATGTTTTGTACAAAAATTACAAGAAAAAAGCTCGGCAACTTTATGCCGAGGTTTACATACCTAGCAAACAATTTCTGACTGCGCAGACCTTGGCAACAGAAATTGTGTGTAGAAAAACAATACGGAAACATGCTTTGATGCTGTTAAAACACACAGAAATAAAGGACACAACATGATCACCAAAACTCACCAAATCACATCCTAAAGAGGATACAGATAGATATGGATTTGGTCTACAAATTTCGCTGGCGGTTGGCGACAAAATTGCGACATCTCACAATCAAATTGTTTGCTGAGTATAGAATCATTAAACAAATCATCAATAATATATTTAAAACTAGAATTAAAAATATTTTTAAAATAAGAGATATATGTGTGACGCGTACTTCGTTGTTAAATGTTATAACTAAGAATGTGGCACATATTTTCCGCGCGCGCGCGGCACATCTTTTTTACTTTTATTAACAAATTAACTTTACTTTTCAAAAAAATGATCGAAGTTGCACTAGATGTGTGATAAATCACATCAAACGAACAATATTCAAAATCAGTACTAATATAAACGGACTTTTGTCCCGCCACGTTGGCATGCAAAACTATCCCTACTTTGTTCGCTTTTCTTTTCCTGTGCGCAGTAGAATCTCTTACGAAAAAGAACTACTGGCAGTAATATATTGCGGCAGTGGTACAAAAAAATTACTAGCATTCTGTGTAATTGCCAGTAATATTCTCAATGATTCCTGTAATACCTAATAATATTCTTGTGTGATTGTCAGTAATATTTATATTACTGACTTTATTTATATTTAATCGGCAGTAGTTCTTTTTCGTAAGAGATTCTTTTCTTGATTTAAACCTATAAGTATAATAATTTTACTTTTGATGTAAAAAAACAAGAAAAAACAAGAAACCGCTTGTGTTCGTCTGTTAATGATCGGACGCAGACGGCGGATGCAGTGCAGTAATTTCATAAAAACACGAATAAAATATAAAAAATATAAAAAATGTTAAACGTTTAAGGTCATCACGCATAAAATTACTTAAGACCGTAAGGCTGCCTTTACATGCGTTGTAACTTGCGTAAGCGTAACTTGCGGTAGCCAATTATATCGTCTCAGCTATCATATGCAAATACGCTGAGACGCTTCATGTAAAAGCAGCCTGACATAGCTGCATAAGACTATTTCAACTAATGACCATCTCACATAAAATTGATATATTGATTTCAAAGCAGAACATAAAGCTATGCTATATAGACTGAAATAATGGCTGCGTTTGGCAGAAATCAGTGCTTAGCAAACGCTTTGCGATTATTGTTTGTCATTGGTAAATACTTTCATATTTGTAATAGATTTACAGGAAAAGACCAATCACATACAATGGATGCATTCAGAAGCACGACCGCTCACTGAGTAGCTAAGTAGCAATCGACTGTGATTAGTTTAAAATAAGAGCCAATCACAGTCACAATTACTACTTTGCCGCAGGTCGTACTTCTGGATGCACCCAAAAGCGCAAAGAGTTCTTATGGCTGGTTTCCTTTTAAAAGACATAAATCGACACTAACACACTTGAGCACAGTTTGACTCTCTTCCCGAGAAGAGTCAAAGAGTGTCGTTTGAGGTCGATTACAATTTTAAATGAAAAGCGATGTGTGACGATTTGTGTCGGATGTGTCGACTGTGTTTTTTAAATGGAAAGCACCCATTGACACACGCCTACCATCTTTATAACAATCACTATAACAATCACTACAGTTGATAAACTATTGGTATTACTGGTTCATGTGTCTGGTGTTTTGCGTCTGCTTGCGTTTACACAGTGGTGTACACTCTCGCACAATGACGAATGTTGTTTTCTCAGCTCGCGCGTACTGTAAAATTATTTTACACGCAGCCAAGTATCCGCATTGTGCAATAAATGGTTTGCTTCTTGGTAAGCAAGAGACTGCTAATGGCAGACAGGATTTGTGCATCAAAGACGCAATACCTTTATTTCATATATGCCTACATGTTTCCCCCATGGCGGAAATAGCACTTACTTTGGTAAATATTTAATAAGCGTTTAATGTGAACGGCAAGATAGTTCGCGAAGTTATATAAGTCATGTTTTTTAAAACATACATTCTAACGTATTTTCTCAAGAAACATTTTGTAACATATTTTTTTTATTCTAACCTATCCTATCACAAGTTTAAAATGTCACACAAAAGATAGAGACCATTACTTTTTTTTTTTTATTGAAACATTTTATTCAAACTCTTAAAATAATGGTAATAATGTAATAGTAATGTTATATCATTATTATTTATTAAATTACAGGTGGACCAGTTAGCTGCCAGCAAAGGCCTTATATTGGTTGGTTATTATCTAGCCAATGAGAATATAAATGATTTAAGGTATTTTATTTATACACTGCATCTTCTTTAAATTACACTAATATTTTTTATTTTGTATTTTCTTTTAGTACAGACAGACCAGCCCACAGAATAGCAGACAAAATTGCTGACAATTTTAACAATGCATTGCTTGTAGTGGTATGTTTATTAATTTATTCACTTTGTAATTGAGATATACTGAAACAATTATCATCTCTTTCTCACAATCTTTTTTTTTTGTTTCACTATTAGGTGGATAACAAAGCAATGTCCCTAGAGATGAGATGTAGTCCGCTGAGAATTTCACAATATGTAGATGGAAAGTGGAGGCCAAAGGACGTGGCAAAGTATATAATTATTCTCTCCTTCTTTTTACAAAATATTTTCAGTCTTACAAAAAATTCTAAGAGTTAATTGCATTTTGTTGTAGCATAATCTATGAAAAAGGCGCTACACACTCAGAAGCAATGTCTTCATTACTGAAGTCTGAAGAATACAAGAATCTAATAGATTTTGACAACCACCTTGATAATATCTCTCTTGATTGGCAAAATCAAGAACTTGACAAAACTATAGAACACATTATTAATCTATACAAATAAAGAAGACAATGCATTCCATACATAATTTATACAAAGATTGTTTTATTTATATGTTATGTGTTGCACTCTTTATCTCTATTTCATTCGCAGTATGCAAAAATGTACATACGCTAGAATTTATAAATAACTATCACCTGTTTTTAAAAATTGTAGACTTTTTCTTAACCTGTCATCTTGATTGTTCCATTTTTATAACATTTTAAAATTTTACATCGACAATATGTTCCAGAAAAATTTCATTAAAAATTTTAAGATTATGTGAAACTGTTAGATCACACCTTTTTTTTACGACAATGAAATTTGATCGGTAACGTAAGTTGAAATGACATACAATTTTTAGTTACAAGATATGCTTACCAAACTTTACCGACAGGTTAGATAAGTATATATATATATATATATATATATATATATATGTATATATGTGTGTATATACGTGCTTTGAAAGAGAGGGAGCTTCTCGGTGTAAATAGTCTTTTGTGAAAAGGTCAGGTTTTTATATATTTTGTATATATTATCTCTCTCTATACTCAATTACTTCTATCATTCTTATAAATTGCTTTGTCGCAACTGTTTTATATGTTGAAAAAGTGATAGTGTTGCATGATATTAACCTACCAGTTATTCACACAAATATCATAGAGATCTTTCTGTTTTACATATTTCTCAATAAACTAAGGTATTTATAAAAACATTTCAAATATAAGGTCCTGAGTACAATAGACAAAATGTTAGGAATAAGAATAAATATTAAATATTTCGAAAAAGAATTTGAAATAATGTTACATTAAACAAGAGAACGGAATGGATTAATTATTCCAAATTCTTATTTTTTAATTTATGATGCATTAATTTATTCTATTTTCTTGTTTTGTAAAGAAATAATTCAAATTTCTTATTTAATATGTTCTCCTATTCCTAATATTTTGTCTATTGTGCTCAGGGCCTAATACTCATCTTTTGCAATTGAAAAATAGTTATTATGCGGTAAACCATAATTTAAATTCTTAAAGCACAAATTAAATTTGCAGATAATGTCACATATATGTGATTGCGGTAATAATCGTGACACACCAGAACTAAGTATACAATATAGTTTATATACAAAAATAGATACAAATAAGGTACAATGCTTAAATGAGAGTGAGGAAGGAAGTGGTGTAAAAATCTTCAAAAAATGGGAAGACAGATTAGATAGAACACAGGTTCTTTTTCAAATTTTTCTTT